TCAATTTTTTTTTTTTCGGATCATTTAAAGATAACTCATTCATATCGAGCTTAAAAGATTTATAAAAAAAAAAAGTCACAGCCTAATTTTAAAAGAATTATCAAATTTTAAACTCAACACGTTTAAGTTTATTGTTAAACTTTAAAACAATGTTATATGAATTTAAAAAATAGACTTAAAAAATATACTTCATAATCTCAACTATTGATTTTACTGTGAGTCCCAATATTTATGAAAACTCAATGATGATTGATATTTTTAAATTTAATTTTTAAATACATTTAACATTACTCTAAACCTTATGTCCACGACTACTCGTTACGATTAGCTGAATCAGAATTCACCACCCGTTAATTAGTGATTACCGTTACAACCAGTATTTACTCCGTAGACAGGCGTGTCTTTGCAATTGAATAACGTTGACAAAATGCAAAACTCTTGTCGTCTTTTTGTCAGAGACTTGGACCAGTGCTGGTTTTTTGATCTCTGGGCACTGTTTGGTCTCTGTTCCCCAGTAAATTCCATTCTTTTTCCTCTGTTTTTTTTTTTTCCTATTTTATTTGGAATGTAAGTTTTTGTAACTAAGAATTTTACAGGTTAAGAACAAACGTGACATAAGTAGGACTTTTAATGATCATATTTCGATGAAGTTATTTGACTGAAATCAATTTTTTTAATCAAACTTTTGATTTGTATATGCTTCAAATATAAATGTTAAAAATAAAAGACGTGAAATAGTTAGATCAAAACTTTTAAATTGAATTTGAATATGACTTAATCATAATTTGATCATACTGATTTATCTATTTCATTTGAATTCGAATTTGTTATCTTATATTTTTATGAATTTAGATTTAAATTTATATAATAAAATAAGAGTGTGTTTAAATTTTATCCCAGTCATATTTTTCCCCTCAAAATCATCATCAATCACTTACCTCTCCTATCATCCTTTTGTCAAACTCAAACGTTAAATCACATCACTTTATTTCTATCACATGTTTAATCATTCATATATTTTCTCCTAAAAATATCACATCACGCATTTCTATCATATATTTAATCATTTAATATTTAATTAATTTGTAATTAATATATTTTAAAAAATTTAATATAGTGGGATCGATTTTTTGGACGCTCAAATTTTATATTTTATTGTACTTTCCGGCACGGGTTATGACTAGTATACATATATTGAATCTAAAAATATGTATCTATTTTTATATGAATATTAAAAAAAATTAGTTAAATTAAGATGCTTAAATCGAACTGTTAACGAGTTTGAATATAAACTATAAAAATAAAATTTGTCAAATAATCAAATTGAATTTAGATGAGACATTTAAAATTGAATTTAAATCAATTCAAATTCAATTCAAATTTGATTCATTGACAGAACTAACAATGTGAGAAGCGCGACGAATCATTGGCCACAAAGCAATCAAGTTAATGAGCTAGGTCACGGGTCGTGGGGGACTTTATGACTCTTTTTAAGCTTAAAACTTAATTTTTACTCTCGAAAAAAAAAAAGTTTTAATAAAAAAATAAAAAAAAAAAAAAAAAACAAAAGAAAAGGAAAAGTGTTAACATAAGTATTCTCAACAAAAAAAAAAGGAAAAAGAAAAGATAGCGTGTGAAGTAATGAGATGATTAAGACACTGCGAAGCAGAGAGAGAGAGAGAGAGACAACACTACAATGGGGGCAGACTGAGGGGTCCAATCACAATTTAAGAAGATCCAATTCCACGCATGATAATGATGGGAAGGACCGGTTCAACTTTACCATAAATACACTTTCACCTCTCATGTGATAAATTTTATAATAACACCCTCTGTCATTCCTGATATTTTCATTTCGCCATCTATTATTTATGAAATTACACACTAACACATCCCTTAATGAATAGTGTAATGATGCTAATAGTAATAGATGATGCACTGAAATAATTTTGACCTATCTTACTTTTGGATAAATTGTAATAATGTCCGTTTAATTTCTAATATTTTCAATGGGTTGTGTTGTTTCCATAAGTATATTAAACCCCTTTGTTATTAGTTTCTCTAATCAATGTTAATGGCATTTTTAAATGTTTTGTTTTTTGAAAATATTTTTCTGTAAATTCCTAGCATAAATTTGATATATTTACTAAAATGGCTTCTCAATTTATGTCGTGGGTAGATTTTTTTTTTCTTTAGAAAAATCTTACAAATTGAATTTTAGTACTGATAGATTTTCCTTTTTCAGCATTATTACATTAAGTGATGCAAAGAAAAATTTGGATGATCTAGCCATTGTCATGTATAATGATAGATCTAACTACCCAATTTTACACACAAAAGCAAAAATCTGAAGATTTAAATGCTGCTTTTTTCTCGCTTAAGGGTAAAATAGGTAGTTCGGGTGAGTAATTTAAATATTGCAGGATTATTTTACAAATTGTCGAATCCTAAGAGATTATTATAATTGTAGAAAGAATAGGGGTGCAGTGCAAATATTGGAAACTAGAAGGGAAGTTGTTTTGTTTATTTACTATTTATATCTGGTATGACACTGTTTTAGTCTCTCTCTCTCTCTCTCTCTCTGGGGAGAGGGTACTGGAAAGTGACTAGACAGTTAAATTTGCAGGTATGGAATCAGAAACCTGACATTGGAACTCCAGGCGTCATAACATCACACCCATTAATTTACCGAATTGTTTTTGGGTAACGTAACTCTAAATTTTGTTATATTAATAAATATTTTATTCTTTTTATAATTTACTATTTTTATTATACTTATTATCGTTCTTATATAAAAATGATAAATAACGGTTCAATTTTTTGTTTATGAGTACGATAGACTTTGTCTTTTATTTTTATTTTTTTTATGCTGTTGGCTTAGGTTACTGTAATAGCCTCCTTGTTTTTTTCTTTAGCCATCTCTCCCTCTCATTTTTTTTAATGCATTGCTTGGTGGAGTAAAAACTATTTCTAGAAAGAAAATGATTTTGTGCTGATAATATCAAAAGTTATATATTATTTAGTTAAGGTTAGCGATTGACTTAATGAATATCGTTCGTGTTGTTGTTGGACGATCTCGAGTTTGTATTTTGCCGCTTTTCTATTTATAATAGGGTTTGACAAAAAAAATCATTTGTTATATTCATATCTAATAAATTTTTAAAAATATACATTATTTAGTTCGTACATGTTAAAAATTAACTGGCTAATTAATCTTTTTTCCTAATATTTGTGTAAAATCATTTATTATATTCATATCTAAATTTAAAGCTCATCCTTATTATTATTTGAATTTCTCTTGAATTTATATATATATATATATAGGGTATGTATAATTGGAGTATAATGAGTTGAAGACAGAATGGACGAGGCATTCCAAGACAAAAAGATAGGAGAAAGCTGACTCTGCATGCCTTTTATTCAATGTAGTCTGCTTGGCTCATAGATCAGTGTGTAAGTGTGTGTGAGAGAGAGAACACCAAAGAAAGGAACAGCCTAAATGTTAAATGCTAGATTGCTGGAAAGAGGACAATGGAACCACGACAGTTGAGAGAGCCCAAAGACTTATGATGCATCTTATCAGTGTACATATATCATATTCGAAATCTGTAGTGAGGAAAGAATCGAAATTTCTATTGCTTGTAAAATTTGAAACTTTTGTTCTACCTTGAGCCAAACTACCATGAGGATTAAAGGGGTATCTTTTTTTTTTTTTTTTAACTCCGACAATTATTTTTTTGAATTTGAATATTGGTCATCATAGTTTTAATGAGTTTAAAACATATCTCTTGTCGAGCAGGTGTGACCAACTCTTAGTAAGTATAGAAAGTGTTGAATATAAAATATCTAAATTTACAGAAGCTTGACTCAGCCAATAATCCATTCGTAAAAAGTTGACTAAAAGGTATCTCTTATGTTCATTTGCTAAAAAATAAAAATCTTATTTTCTTTCTAAAGTCCCACCTTAAAAGAGACTATAATGTGTTTGTAATTAGATATGACCAAAGTAATTCTTATGAGTTTTGAGTTTAATAAAAAATATTATTCTTACTAATTTATTTTTTTAATTCTTTCATATTAAATGGCATGATGAAATTGTAAATTTTAGATGATTATAGTGAAACTGAAATCCAATAGTACACATGAAATTGGTAAGCCATAAAAAGATTATTACTTTGCGTATTTAACAATTTAACTTAATCTATTAATTTATTGATGTGACAATTGATATGGTACAACGAAGAAATCTAATAATTGCAATTAGAATGATCCTATAGGATTATGTCAGTTGGTACATTATTAGATTAACACATTAAAACAGATTTTTAAGTTCTAATCATATAATAAAGGACATATCTAGTGTATTAGACTCTTAGTATTGTAAAATTTGGAGAGAATTAAATGTATACAATTTTATTTGTACAAGTCTTAGAATAATATGCGATGAGACATATTTTTAAATTAAGTAATATTATGCACTTAAAAAGTTGACCTAATTTACTGATATAATAATTTGATTTTAGTAGAATTATTGGATCAACACCAAGTTTTGATGTTCGATAAATTTTACAATTAATCAAAATATTATAATAAATTAGATCAACAAATTAAATCATTAAATTAGATCCAATAAGATTGCTGTATTAAATTTGGGATTCAGCCCATCAACCATTTCAAAAAAGTTGTTTTGGACAATTACCTCTGTTTGAACTGTTTACAGTGGTACTTGCTTTGTGTAGAGCTCATTCTGCTTTTGAGTAAATGATAGGATGATCATGACAGAATCATTCAAGAAACCAACAAAGTCTTCTCTCTATCTCCATTCATCCCTTTTGTCTCTCTCTCTTCTCTCACTATCTTACTTGCCCGGTTTCTTCAACTCCCCTCTGTCCATACATTTATGCAGCCTCTCTTTTTTTCCTGAAAGATTATTTATACCCTCTTTGACGCTCTCAAACCTCCATGCACTTGGTGCAAAACAGCCCCAGAACAGAATAATAATGTCTCAAGCAGCTTCATCAAGGTGGTGTCCAACCCCAGAGCAGGTCATGATCTTAGAAGAGATGTATAGAGGTGGAATAAAAACTCCAAATGCCTCTCAGATTCAGCAGATCACAGCTCACCTCTCATGCTATGGCAGAATTGAAGGTAAGAATGTGTTCTACTGGTTTCAAAACCACAAAGCAAGAGACAGACAAAAACTTAGAAAGAAACTCAGTAAGCCACTCCATCAACAGAAGCTGTATGGGCAACATCAATATAATTGGCAAAGCCACCACCATAGCCACCTTCTTCATTACCTTCATGACTGTCCTGCAGCTGCTTCTTCTGCGAGTCATCAACTTCCATTCTACAACTTGACAGATGTTCTTCATCAGGTAGTATTCGTAATTAGTTTCTTGTTCTCTACCTTATAATGCGCGGAAATAGCGTCTCTGCTTATAGAATAAGGTTAAAAATATTTAACACTCCTTAGATTCCATAGCGACGAAAACCTCGTGTATTGGGTATGCCTTTTACTCTAACTTACAATAATGAGCTAAAAAAAGAGTGGCATAGGGCATGAGACTCCGGCAACCACCAAGGTCTAGAATAGAATTTTTGTAACTGTTACAACTATTATGTGCTATTTCCCAAAAAATAATTTAAGATATTACATCGAACTTCAAAACATGTCTTTTCAGGAATCTCAAAAGGGATGCATAACAAATCACACTAGAGAAAATTTATTACCTTATAATCTAAGAAACAATACTAAAAATATATCTCTCGCAATCTGAGAACCTAAAGATAATCTTTATCTTACTGACTAAATAAGTTTCACACATGTGTTTATCCAATATTTTGAACTTGAAGAACCTAATATTTCAATGCTATGGTGCTTTCTAAGTAAAATTGAGAAGCGGATGTCATAAATAGATAACAATTTTTTGATTTCTCTACTCGTTTTGGGTTAGGGTGGAGTTGAAGATGCATCCAGACAGATGATGAATTACAAATGGAAGATGGATCTACAAGAAAGTTGTGAGACGGAAAACTCCATGCTCAGAACCTACGGTTGTGATTGGAGGAGGATGGTGATGATGGATGTGTGTCCAACCACCCATTGTTGCAGTAAACCCCTCAAAACCCTAGAGCTCTTTCCCATCACTGCAACCAGTCTCAAAGACCAGTGCAACACATCTAAGAATATCTCTTCCTCCACGCCCACCAATATTTAATTAGCTAGTTTCATGCTCTCTCTCTCTCTCTCTCTCTCTATATATATATATATATATCTAGTCTAGTCTAGGTATAGACTAGAGTAGATAGGCTTCAATGTGTGTTTGTTCAATGTTCATCTTCTTGGTTTTTGTTTTCTGTATCTTTTTTTTTGGGGGGAGGGGGAGGGGGAGGGGAGAGGGGGACGTAATCTGTATCTAGGCTCTGGCCGTCTGGCCTGAGAAAGATCTTAATTGTCTAATTAGCAAAGTAGAATCTGCATTGGGATTTGCCAAAGTTTCTGTTTTGTATTGATTTTTTGAGGTTTATTTCCTCTACATGCGATAAAGCTGCGAGTTCCAACATTGGTAACCTCACACAGACATGTTGATCCTGTCTTTATTTGTCCTAGACTTTCAGACAAGTCTACGCAAGCTGCATGCAAAATCAGTAGACTATAACAGGACATGAGCATGGACTCACCAATTTGGAACCTTATAAGAGAATTTTGAGTGCCTCTTCTTAGGACAATATGATGCCATGTAGATGTAGTGGCGTTCTGAGTGTTTTCTCGAAAAAAAAAAAAGTAGGAGAGAGAGAGAGAGGGAGAGCATGAAGCTAGCTAAAGATTCATCCACTGAAAAGGTAATGCTTGTAAAATTTTCTTATTTTTTGTTTTACTTTCTATATTATATTTCATGATCAATTCTTACAAAATGAATCAACTAAAGATCTATGATTATAAATCAAATTTTCACATGGCACAGTAAAAAAATTTCGAGACCAGATCTTTCTCCCCAAAGGCCACTAAGTTGGGAAAGTCTATGACAATACATAAGGATATATTTTATTTTTTAATTTCTTTTGAGAAATAAGGGGCATTAGAACTTTCAGATTGGTTTGCTCTCTAGAAATATCCAAAAGTTTGGGTAATTTTACTGCTTCAATGAGTTGAGTTGAGTTAAGCTTTTTTTCTTATATCAACCATTTTCCCACGTGCAAGTTCTTACTAATGTCTCGAGTTAAGTTCAATAGAACTCAGAAAATTGAAAATGTCATCAACCTTAACTGATGTATCTAAGGTGTTAATTTTCAATCTAAGTCTCCAACCGTTGCTTCTCTTCAACAACCCTTTGTGAAAAAACTAGTTCCAGACTGAGAGGATGGTTACTGAGTTTGGGCACATATGTATGGAACAAGGTCCAAGGAATAACGGTGTTATAAAAGGTACAACTTGGACGGATCAAAGTGACCAAACTCAGCTCAATCGAAAGAAAAAAAAATCAGTTTATAAACAGATGTTTATTATGTATTATTATTTCTTGTTACAGAACCCATAAAAAGGTTGTAGATACTGTTGTACGAACATCAGATACAAGAGCCCATCCTTTCCAATTGTTAGGCAATACTTGTTGATTTTCTTTGGTGAAGTTGTAACTTGAAAGGTTTATTGACTTACTCTATTGCGATTTTATGGTTTTTCACATGATGTTTTCTTATATAACCATAAACTATCCTAGTCGCACATTTTTTGGACTTGTAATTATAACTTAAACTCTTGATGCTCACAATCACCTACAACACTAGTGCAACATTTCATGTAAAACTCAAAATTTCAAAATTCAAGTTATTAACTCCTTAGGGCTTTTCATCCAAACTATCCGAACGGATATTTCACATAGCATTTTGAAATTCTTCATCTTGCACCTTTGATTCTACTAGTCACTATAAGTGTTCGTAGAAGGAGATTGGATTTATCGACTATCGATCCACATGCAATGCGATACCGTGCCTTGTCACAAGCCTTTTGTTTGAATTTTAAACTCCATAATTCACCAATGGTCAGATGTACGTAGGTGACGTCAAATTTTGTACCTATTTATATATTGTTTGTAATATATATAATTTAGCTATATTTTTAGATATAATAAATTATGTCCACCCTTAAAATTGGCCTTGATTTGTATATTTGTGAATTCTTTTAATTTTAAATTCGTAATTTAAAACTTAAATTATTTATAATTGGTCTACAATTAATCTCTAATTTTTAAAGATTGATGATTGACTTATTTCAATTGAATTCTAGCGGTATTATTACACTTACTTCTTGAATTTTTATTTCATAGCTTTGTGATTTTGATATAAAATATAAAAACACGCCATGACCAATTTTTTTGAATTCTTATTTAATAACTTTGTGATTTTGATATAAAATATAAAAACACGCTATGACCAATTTTCTAAGATCGATGAGAAATAGCTTGAGACAAATTTATTTGTTTAAATCGACTCTCAATTGGAAATATAATTTATCTATTATCTATATCTATATCTATACTACTTATAAAAGTAAGTTAAAGTGAAAAACTTTTAAGTACCAAATTTATCCTTAATTATCCTTCTAATGTCCATCACATCCAACACGTCCTTTAGTTTTTCTATAATTCCTTTAATTTTATTTTAGATAATTATTTATATTTATGCAAATAATATTAAGTAGCTTTGATGAATAATGAATCCCCAACCTTTTGCCTTCCAAAACATACACATTTCCTTTTTTTAGGTGAACTCATCCTCTCCTCTTTAATTAGGTTTAATGAATAATGAATATTTAACTTCTTTCCTTCCAAAACAGAAACATTTCTTTTTTCCATGTGAACTTACTTTCTTTTGCAAATGCCTTAAATTAAAAAGGAAGACGAATATTTTTAGATTTCTTGCAAAAAACTTCACTTGTATGTAGGTTTATGAGGTATGACAAAAAAGGATATGCCAAGAATGGAGTGATACCTCGCTATAGTGATGCAGATTCTGTCTAGTGATTTGAATTAGAACAAAGTAGTGTATTTCACATTTTCAAGGGTTTGAGGACAGTAATTAGGTAATGAATGAAGATCGTAATTTATAACTTCAGTCTAAATGTTACATTCTTTTTACTATGTTTATCTTGTATAACGATGAACATGTAATATTGTGGGCGTGTAGAGCTCATGGATCACTTATATTAGGACCTGATTTAGGCTTAAACAAATATGAGTGGTTCTCTAGACCATTTACACAAAAAAAAAAAAGCACCATTATGTTTGTGATAGATCAATATTTGAGACATAATGTTTTATCAAATCTGTCAAAATTATAGGCAGGGCCAAATATAGAGGTCTAAACAAGCTATATTTTATAGGAGCAAGGTGGAAATGAACCGAACGAGGAAGTTTATGACAAAATGACTTCTCTCCTGGAAGCAATTCGTGAGTCCTTTGTGATCATATTGTCGCTTGTCAATGTATCATTGTTTAATTTCATATCTATATATATATATATATATATATATATATATATATATATGTCTATTTTTGTCGTTTTTGTTTTAGTTGTTATGATACTGGTCATTGATGTTCTACATCCAAGAACACCCAATGTCTCCAAAGTTTTACGTCTTTTCTCATTTTATTTTTGTTTTTGGGTTGTTTTTGTTTTTTTTACTTACCTTTTATACTCTTATTGAAGGTTGAATTGAAAGAGAAATTGGCAAGGTTGTAAGAGGTTAAAGATCCAAAGGCCCATGACCTAAAGACTATGGATTTGAATCCTATCCTCGCCTAATCACTTGATCTTTTTTTTTTTTTTGGTATTTTTGGTATTGGACAAGCTCTCAGGGAAGATTCTATTTCTTATTTCTACCTTTCGTTCCCATGACGACTAGGAAGAGGCAAATAAAAAAATTCATTTTGAATTCTCAACTCTTGTTGTTGAAAGGTCAAAAATGAATAGGTGTTGGAGTAGCATTCCATCTTTGTGTTCAAGATAATAGGTGTGCTTGTGTGGACCATTGTTAGTTAATGATTGGTTGGAAAGATAATGTATATACAATTGTTAGTGTAAATTAATATATATAATAACTGTTCAAATTTATTACAAGAATGTAGAAGAGTTTGAAGAAAATTCTCTCTTGCAGAGATTAGAATTATAATCACAAAAGGTGTATTCTAACTACAATATTGGGTAGTCTAGCAATGATAGAATTCTGTTCATATTCACCCTCGTGTGGTGGAACACGGTATTAAGGTTTTGCTTCAATTTTTTGTTGAGAGTTGGTGGTGCAATCTGCAAGTGAGTGAGGAGTATGGGTCCATTCCTTAAAAGAAGGAAAAAAAATTGGTCAAAAAAAAAAATTCTGACATTTATGTAAACAGTAAATTACCAGTGAACAAATTCCCAGTTTTCTTGTAGTAAAGTCAATTGTTCTTATTTTTATTACTAATTATTATTTTAAAGTCAATGGTACCATCATATTTCTTTTCATCTAATTTTTAGTTTTTCATACCTATTGAACTTTAAAATTATATTTTGAACTCTTTTATATATACTATAGCTAGATGTACTTATCTATATTGATCTATACTACTTATACATACATGTAAACTTTTGATTTCTATTTTGTTTATAATCAATATTGTAAAATCAGTTATATCCTAAAAAATGTTTTGATCTTATTTTTTTCCCCCTCAAAGTATGCTATTTGAGTTTTTTTCTAGACTCTTACTTCTAAATTGTTTTGACATTTGTAGTCTTTAATGTGTTTATTTCTATATTTATGTCTATATATGTTATATTCATTTCCTAATCTACAAATAAAAATGAATTGAATGTAAGTGACTCACATATACGATTTTTTTTAACCCAAAAATAAGTACTACATAAGCATATATTCATAATATAATACTGCGTATTAAAAACCATTAAAAATCTAGTAGCTAACTAAATTTAGAATTGAAACAATTAATTTTAGGAAATGTGTGATTTGGAGAAAAAAAATTTATCAATTATTTATATTAGTTACACAAATATATTACTAGTATATACGCACATGAACCATCAATATAGATTGTAACAACTAATAAACATATATATATATCAAAATTATCATGTAAAATTGTTCACATACAATGTACATATGCAACAACTAGTATCTCTATATGTATATGACTAAACTGTAATTAGCGATTAACTTTAATATGAC